GATTATTTAGTATATTTTTGCAAATATTAGTTAAGTCACTGTTTCACCGCCCGTGCAATATATTATGTATACTTTCGTTTGAACTAAATAAAATACATTCCTGTCAATATATTCAAAAACTTAGCTAGCGAATAGTGTGGTAAAAGTCACGAACACGATGTTACACTTCCAGAATTCCTAACTAGATACAATTCACAAATCCATATAATAACCGTGTAATAGCCTCACATAATCGTAAGAACAAATTGTTCCGTCGGAAACAGAAAGAGAGTTTATATGAGACACTCGACATTTTCTCATTAAAATTTCAATCGGCGGAACAAGCAGTTGGACGAGATGCAATATCCCAACATTTCATATTGTGTTTTGAAATATTCTGAACTTTACGTTATTTGCTTTTACACCACTTGGAAACGGGAAACAATTATTACAAAATTAATAAAAAGTTTCAATTAAATTTCGATACTGTTCTCTCTTGAGTATCTCTGTATGATAAAAAACAATGCCTTCGATTGGTTTAATAGAAATACCAACGTAGAAATATGCACCAAGAATAATTTGAAAATCTAGTAGCAGTAGAATTTCTTGTGAAAGAGTTCGTCCAGAAAAGTACTGCCATCTTACCTATTTCTGCTACCAACAAGTAATGTGAGCATTAATTCGTTTCGGTTTTGAAGGGTAAGAATGCTAGTGAAATGAAAAGCACATGCGACTTGTCAACTTAGGTCTCAGATTGAAGGGTGTAGTGGCGGTGCTTCTGAGATGTTTGTGATTCGGAGTGGCACTTCGTCCTGTCACATGGTATCATAAAAAAAGCTTCTGTCTCATGTCTTGAGAGAGATTTTTTAATGAATGAAATATTCTTTATTGCACATTGAAAATTACAATAATGTAAGTATCACAGAGAAAGATAATGTATAACAGGCGACCTTATTACTAAGTAGCAATTTCTTCCAAGCAACCTTAGATCTTTGTGATAAGGCAAAAATAATTATGCGTAACTTTTATACCAGAAATGTCTACTGTTCCTTAAACTAGTAAATCTATGTTGTCAGGAGGAATCTTCACGTTATCGTTATTCATATGCACTTCTGATCCGTTCATTGTTCAGGGTAAGTAAGCAACTAAACAAAGTTGCAAATTCCGTATTAGAATAAATACAGGTACCGATTGTAACAACGGCTGCCATTAATTTTGACCCAATAACACCAGAAAATATGCAATAAAAATACAGCTATACATAATCATTTTACATGGAATTACTTGAAATTTATTGGGTAAAACTATTACTTTTACAATCAAAACCAATTTTTCTTTTGGAATTACATGGCCTTTAAAGAGGTAACTAAGATGTGTGGATTTGTTAATCAACTAATGTATATATTTAGGTATATACAAGCGAATTATGGCAACACAATTCTTTATCCAGTCGACATTAATGACATTACGTTACATTTGTGAGCTACAGGAAATTTGGATCTAAAACACTACTATCTCTACAACTACAACCTATACTGTGGAAGTTTGGTCTCTACGTAAATAGACCTAAGACACAACGTACAGACCAACTTGTGACTTTCGAGGAAATATATTTTTTATTCGTGTTTTACATGAAAAAGTTAATAATTAATAAAAATAAAACTACGGGTGATATGAAACTATATTGTTCAAAGTTCTGCGAACTGTATCGATTGCATTGAGGGGAAATGAACTCAGTATTTCTAGAACAGAACGCCCTCGTGATTCATTCACATTGTATATTTTACTTACATACTTAACTGCATGTATATGTTTGTTCTATGATTTACATTGTTTATTTACTAAAAAGAGAAATATGTAGAATCCTAAACGCAACGCGAGGTGGCATATTTTCTTCAAATTTAAATGGGACATCAAAATCGGTTTTCAAATGCCGGAGTCATCGCGTAACATATATACAATAAAAAAAAACAGTCGAAATGAGAACCTCCTCCTTTTTTGAAGTCGGTTAAAAAACTTTAGGTTCTAATATCTCGAAAGTCATCGCAATGCAAATGCGTTAGTTAGTTGCAACAAGGAGGGCAGTATAATTATTTTACGATTTAAACCCACCTTGTGTGAAAAACTTTATAATCAAACAAAATCTCTATTATGAACATATGTGATAATTCGCTCTGTGCGCGCTTATTTTGGGGGAGACAAAGTTTTAGTGTTGTGAATTCAAATTATAGACTGGCGTGTTGCTTACCACAAGGCGCACGAGTCCGAGTAGTTCGTCCCATCACATGATATTAATAAAAAAAAAATTTTCACTAATCAAAACAAATACTTCATACTACAGTTTTAGTAACAATTGAAGGAAATTGCACAAATCTATTAAAAAAACAGGAACTAATTTAGAAAAGAAAAAAAAAAAAAAAGAAATCTTTCATTTACTTAAAAAAAAGTAAAACAGCTCCCGTCTTTCATTTCCGAAATAACCCTCTCAATTAACTTCGTTAAGGATGGTCGCCTGATTAATAATGCATTTAGGTAGAGTCTTCAGTTCCTGTTAGTATAAATACCGTGCTTGTTTCAGAAACTCCGAGCTGCTTAATATGATTGCGATTTCAAGTGTGAGGATGATAGGCCGGGGTGGCTTAGAGTTCACCCCTAACGGACCCTACAGATGCTGGCGTAATAACCTTACTATCAAAAAAATGTGCATACCAAAAGAGCACGTACATTTTTTCGTACTAAGTAGATAAAAAGATGTGACAAAAATATAATAAACGCTTTGAATGTAGACAAAACAAACAAAAAGTTACAACGCCATTAACGTCACAATGCTTCTTTTAAAAACTGAACAATTAGTACCAAACCATAAATTATTTAAGATAATAACATGTAATGTGTTATGTGTAATATGGTACAATTATTTAACATAATAATGAACTATGCGTTATTTTGCTGGAGTGGTGACCACATGTCACAGTACGCATACATTATTGCCGCCGCAGCAACCAGATGTTCGCAAGGTCATTGCCTCGAACGACGTTTTAATTCGAATTTCAGTATCCTGAGATGTACTTCAATTATTAAATAATGATATAATTGAATCTTACCACATTCGGTTTGTCCATCTTCAAACTTGCAAAATCCAGTAGTAAACTTATTATTTATAAGTATATTGTATTATTTAAAAAGCACCGTAAGCTTAATGTCAATGTCAATCGCGGAAGCAAAGACACGTAGCAAGGCAAAACTGATCCTTATATTAAATTTCGCGAAATTATTGTTTTGGCGTACAAAATTGTTGCAAACTAACATCGTCACTGTCCTTATATTAGTCTTGGTGACTGACAGAAGCGACAGAAGGCACAACGCGTATGGTCCACTACATTGATTATGATACACTTATGAACTAACACCAACTATGAGTAATCGAAACGCAGTTCACAAGATCCGCGACACTCGTTTCCCTACGAGCCTTTGTTACGTGCGGTCCAGATCCATGGCGCCAGCTGTGATCGGCGTGCTCGGCTCGACGAGCGAGCGTCTGGCGGAACGATCGATGCCGGCAACAGATTTACATTTTCCGTAGAGGAAATCGGGAAAGTTTGTCACGTGTTCGAGTACTAGCGGGCGGCGAGAACGGCGCGCCCGCACGCCGGTAGTGCGCGGCGCCGAGTGCCGCCCGCCCTGCCGCTGCCGCCTGCCTACCGCTTGATGTCGTGTCGCACCGTAGCACTACGTCTACGATACACGCTCTCTGCCGGGCTACTTTTGCTTAGCTTCTACATAATCACTTAAACCGATGAGATTAAGAATCAACAACGAGATAACTGGGTCTGTTTATAAGGTTCATATACGAAGGAATATTCGAATATTTAGTTTTGTTTTATCGTAATAATTGAATAATACCGCGGCTAAAGTATATGAGGTATCAGTAGGTAAGATTTAGAAAATGGAAATAAGATAGATAAATATTGAGTGAATATCGAACTTAAGAGCACAGGATTTTATCACACGATACGATGGAAGTAGGGTTTTATGCTGCGACCTTTAAGGTCCCGAATGGTGCGGTGGTTGTTGGGGGTGGTTAGGGTCGGGCGGCGGAGCGCGGGACAGGGTCGACGAGAGACGTGGGACTATCGATTTTGGCCACCCCGCTCTCTCCCCTAGGCATGCGACAGTGTGAGTGCGCCGTACGAGTCCTCACTACGAGATCGTCGACTGTACGCTTCAAGCGGTGTCGAATATTAACAAACCCTTTGTTCACGTCAAGTTTTACCGGCATTTACCAAATGATGCATTTAAATCGTTTTTGATTATCAAATCTAGAGCTTTAAAGCATATAAATTATTACTTCCGGTCCAAGAATAACCAACGTTTTTCGTGTTTTTTAAGTAGAAAACAACAACAACGTTCACCTTTCCCCTTTCTCTTACTTCAAGGTTTAAGATTCTTAAAGTTTCGAGTCATTGATATTAATTTTTGCACATATTTTCTTTACATCCTTTATAGATAACGATAGATGCACATGAGTATTTAATGAACAGGTAAATTTGAGGACACAATGACTTAAGAAGACAGAAGACAGGTTACGTTAGAATGCTACATTGACGTATGAGAGTGATGGAAGGCGGGCCGACCACTTGTGGATCGAGAGGTTCACCGAACGCTATTGGAAATGAATATCTTCACATACTTGCCACATACCTGTAATTCTATAGTGACATGTAATATCACGTCGCTTTGTTCAAATATTTGAAGAAAGATCGATTAAACGTTATAACTCATTGCGGCATTTCTCATTTAATGACTCTGAAAACAATTGATTCCATCTAGATACGAAAATATTTGTAAGTGAGATTATTAATGATAGCGTTATTAATGACTTTATAATTATCAAGTAGATAGGATAGATGGATGAGATAGTGGGCTTCAAATACTAAAGTACTTAGTATTTATTACTATTTTACTAAGTATTCTTAAGTTAGTATTCTTAAGTACTCTTATATATACTTGAAAAAACTTACCTTTCTTCCAACTGCTGTAGTTGCGAGGTCTGTTGGTAATTCATACGACGACCGTAAAGTGATGCGCCTCCCTCTGACATGTACCCGTCCATGACGTCATTGTTTCTTCCACAATCAATTTCATTTATATTAATTCTTCTCAAACAATCTCCATCTGACATGTAACCAGAGGCAATTTCAAGGTCGCAATAATCGGGATTCGAAAATCCAGGGCCATAATTCATACGATCTCGTAGTCCAATATTTTCTCGACCAAAATTTGCTTTCACTGTATTAGCGTGATGAGGGTAGCCAGGAATATTTTTCTGTGTTAAACCAGAAGTTCTCATTGGCAGTGTTAAATGGCTGTTGTAACCGCGCAGTAACGGCCTCATTGGCATCACATTCATCAAAGGATTCTCGTCATCTCCAAGTGAGTTGTCTCGACAATGAGAAGGCGTGCTTGATCTGCTATTACTTTCACGACTCTTGTTTAACTCTGTCAATGTTGTGTTGTGATCAAGTGACGGTCTTAGTCCAGCGCTTTCAAGTAGTCGCTTCTGTGCAGCTTCTTTTTCTGAAATTTCTGCTTCATTAATAACATCTTTAATGTAAGTTGAACTCATTTCCATTTGTCTTTTATTAGCAGTCCCATTACTAATTCCAGTTTTAGACATCTCAGACCCCGATTCACTAGAAGGTCTATAAATCACGCTGCTGTCGCTTGAGTTTGAATGTTGCCCTGTAGTACTATGCGTCGAATTTGAATGTGAACTTTCCGACATTTGCGATGTAGCATTCGGAACTCCTAAATTGATTACAGGCATTGGAGAAACAGCAAGTGTCTGTTTCTGACAAGTTTCTTTACTTAAATTAGATTGTTCTCTACTGAACGGAAGTGCACTTACGTTATTAGTAGAATTTAAACTAGAATTGCTTTGTATAGGACTTAATTGACTATTTGTACTTTTGTGTATGACATGTCTGTCTTCTTTTGATTTGAATGTACCTTTGACAGCTGCTGTTGGTTTTGGAATTCCAGTGTGATTCTGAAGACCAAAGCCTTGCGCACCGGAAGGAGTTTGAGGCTGGGAGCTCTGAGAATGTATATGACCATTGTGTTCTGATGTTCCACTGTTTAGTTTCATTTGGCTTCCTGAAGATTTCACTTTCGATTCCATCTTTAATTTAGAATTCCTTGAAAGATCTTCCATTTGATTCAGCTTCGTATTACTAATAGATTTAGGAGTGGCTATTTTAGATTCTTTGTCTCGTGAAATCATTTTTGGACTGTTTCGTGATTTGTCATTATTGCTCGATTTAGAACTAGATTTGCTTAAACTCGAGGAAGATTCTTTAGGTGATTTTGAATTAACTATTTTAGTTTTTACATTTTTACCAGACTTATCTTTTGATAAAGTATCGGTTGGTTGCCTTATAGGTTTAGGTCCTATTAAATTAGAAGATTTGATATGTGAATTAGGCGTATTTGATGATTCGTTAAGACTTAAACTAGAATCAGACCTCTCACTTTTGGCTGATGAGAAACCACTGGAAGAACTGGTACGTTTAGACACTGCGGTGCTTTTATTATTTTGTTTCTCAGTGCTCACTTTGTCTTTGTTAAAAAGTTTCAATTTGTCAAGCATGGAATGCTTTGTTGGTGTTCCATTCTGATTGCTTGGAGCCTGCGGCTGTAGCTGTGATTGCGATACCAAAGTGGATGGAATCTTGCTACCCGACGCCAATAGGGACGAATTCGGTCGGGATCTGCACGAATGAAACGTAAATGTAAGTTTTCATAGCAATTATAAAATTATTTAAGAAATATTTAACTAAAAAAAATTAAAAATATTCTTACCCAGATGAAGAAGGCGCACGTGGTATAAAACTCACTGTTCCTTGCCCTAAAGGACTTGTTGATCGACTGGAACTTGCAGACAGACCGCTTTTGCCACCTGTGAAAAAAATACATTAGAAAAATGCATTGTTTACTTTTACAATACAATTTATTATGCGTATGTGTGTACCTTTATTCTGAATTAAGCATATTAAACCACATCATAATAGAGTTATTAAATAATAACTGATTTTAAGCGAGCAAACACGTTATCTATTACACACCTAAAGCTGAATAAATATTTAACTATATGCAGTAAGTAATATTGACAACAAAAAAGTTCAGATAAGTTTGAACTTTTTATCAGACACGGCACGGGTGGCCTGAGCTGGGCCCGCGACATATTGTTCTAGAACTATACAACATGAATATTAACGATTGTTAATAATGACAATTTTAATAAGACCCCTTATTCCCCTACAATCAGTAACCAATGAGTGAAGTAAAGGGGACGTTATCAATTTGCCATGGATCTAACTAAATTTGTTGGCATCATCGACCGCTATAATACCGACAAAAAATAATTTATGACGTCATTGCATACGAATGTGTGTGTGTGTGTGTGTGTTTGTGTGTGTGTGTGTGTGTGTGTGTGTGTGTGTGTGTGTGTGTGTAATGAACTGCCCTAACCATGACATGTAAATTAGTAAATGTTGTCATAAGATGTAAAATATCATGGGTTCCAAAATATTTTTTTGGATCAATAGACAATATGAAAAATGATAAATATCTATATTACTACTAACTCAGGCACAGATGAGTTTACCTTATAATAATTTTGAAAGTTAAGAAAAACTATCTTTATCACGTTCAATAAAACATGACCTCAACGAGTTATAGCACTCGAATGATTCCATATCTCCAACGACTTAAAGCCAGTATAGTAGGCCACATTTAAGGATATTATACATGTATCAAAAATATATGTCAACATTTTTATTCTAATTTGCGTGTAAGAGCTACATAGACCTACTTAGAGGAACATAGCGCTATTGATAGCTGCACATAGCTACTTAGAGCTACATAAAGCTACTTGGCGTTATTCACAAGCCGCACAAAGTTTTAAACTTTGTACAGTCTAGCATGTAGATAGTGTACCATATAGTTATAGTTTTCATACCCATTGTTATCAAGACATCTAAGTATATATTTCCATGACTTGATTAATTACCACAGTTTTCTTACTTTATCATCTCTTATCTGTATGTAAATGATGTAATGAAAATAGCTTCGTAGGTAGAAAACAGGCTACACCTTTGTCCATTAACATTGAGCGAGTGGCTAACATCCGTTCTCCATTCCGCTTAGACGATCCATCACTTAAAACAACTGACGTATATCGTTCGCTAAAGATATCATAAGGTAGTTATTGCATGATGTTGCAAGGATTATCGTATTCATCTTAATAACACAGACAGAAACAGTTGTTAATATGCGAGGGGTACCTTTACACCATTTTTGAAAAAAGAGGCATTTTTTGTGAAGTTACGCAATTACTCCGATATTTCTGAACCGACTCCGAAAATCCTTTTTTTTGTTGGAAAGGAGGTACCTCAGTAGCGGTCAAATTCAAATTTGAAGAAACGATTCCACCTCAAAGGTGGCACATTAAAGGATGAATCCGGTTTATGAGATTTCACCCACTTTCCGTAAACCGATTTTAATAAAACTAGGCAAATAGATGTAACCATAATGTAACTCCACAGAACTTTTGTGGTCGATTTTGTTTTTTTTGTAAAACGAAATATTGTTCCCGTAAGTACCTAATCATCTTTGCGCATAAGCCCACTGGGTCTTCTTGACCAGTGTGGTCTTCAGCGATGTATTGTAGTAAACCAAAAACAACCAATTAATCAACCAGTAAAGCAAACAAATAAGTTATCGAGTTCTTAGGTTTTCGCGATTGTTGCACATAGGAAATTAAACTATTTTTTCGGATCCACATCGCGTATAATATTTTTTCAAACAAACTAACGTTTTGGGCTCTTTACAAGTGCCATGGTCACGGCTGACACCCCACAAGTGTAAAAATTATTCAAAAAACAAAACCCGACTGCAAAAGAATTTTGCTGGAAAGATAAAAAACATATTACCCCACTAATTTGAATATGACACTCCCACAATGAAGACGAATTTAATGACACCTCATATGTCAAAATCTATCAAGCTGTTTAAGCTGTACAGTGTGAAAAATAAATGGATATACATACATACACTTGAAAAACCTAACCCTCCCGCAGTCGGGTAAAAAGTTTTCCTATATTATAAGTTATTCCATTTCATTTTTCAGCCCTTATTGTCCCACTGCAGGGCATTTAACTCTTCTACAGGCCAAGACATATTATAAGTTAATTATGAATAAATGTAAAACGTAAAATGTTTTAAAAAATCTATAATAATTTGGCAATAGCATTGCCTAAATGAAAATTCAAAGTTATTTAGGAAATACTGCTTGTGGGGGTCCCAACAAGTCTCCACTCAGGCCACATTGGCAAAAGATGATGTGTATCTATATGTACAGAGTGAAGATAGTAAATAAACTACAAATTTAATTTACTAACATATACTTATCTGTTTCATGTTACTTTCAATTGTTTTCGAAGTGAAGTAAGAATAACGCCGGATTTACATTTTTCTGACGTGTGGTGTCGTGACGCGTCAGAACGGTATCGGTTTCAGACACACAACCCAAGCCGTCACGTCAGATTGTGATACACTAATATAAATCTAACCATAATAAATGTATGAAACCAATACCGTTCTGACGTGTCACGACACTACACGTCAGACAAATGTAAATCACACTATCCACAGAAAAGTGTGACAAGTCCAATTTTTCCAACAGTGCTGTGGTCACAAGTATTGGTCATTAGTATTCTGACGCCACAAATTTACGCACTCATATTGTTTAATATAATATAGCCAAGAAGAAAGACACTATTAATAAATCTATCTGTCATTTATTAATATGTAATTTTAAAAGACAGGATGTACTTATGAGATTAAAGGTGTCATGACAATAGTTTCTGCGACAGAGAGAAAAAAATATTTCCATGGATGCGTAATGCGATGTTAGTACACATTTAAAAGGTAGGAAACCATTAACACGGCCATACATTAAAGATTGCAAACTGACATTTTTCTACACAGCAAAACCCTATAAAAAAAACGGTTAAAGATTGAACATTCAATGAAGAATTTTGAAAATGTGACCTAATGATCAGAGAAAACATTTAATTTTAAAACAACAAAAATAAGCTCTTATTAACTTTAATGTCTTTCCCTGTGATGCAATATAAGGATTCTGCCTACACATTTATGCACAATAAGTCCATCCATGATAACTAGTTCACTGATCAATTGAAATAATCATTGCATTTGATTGGCGAGCTAGTACATAAAGACCGTTACAGATGATTGGATTATGATCGAATTGATGTAATTTATTAGGTGAATCAGAATATTTATGAATTCAATCAATATCTGATGCGATATTAGATAATTTCAGTCGATTGACTACTATTATATCTTGAACACAAGAATTTAAATTTGAATATAAACATTAGAACCATTTTTTCGGATCTTAAATTGCATATTTGTGCATTTTTTAAACAAACCAACGTTTCGGTGTCCCATGTCAGGTCGCATGGTCACCTGACTGAGATCGTGTTAGTCGTCAAAACGTTATACCTCATTTTAATAATGCAAACCTCTCTATTACGTATCCGGAAAAAGTAGAGTCATTTCCAATATCTAAGAATTGCGAAAATCTAAGAACTCCATATTGACTATAAATATTTATTTATAGTCAATATATATTTTGTTATTGTAAAAGAACGGCTTTGAGAAAAAGTCTTTTAACAAGAGTTTAGTATATGGCTTACCTTCCTTCGTTCAATATTCTGACACATCAGTAATATTAGACTAAAAATAATCAATAATACGAAAGGTGAAATTGCTAGCTTAGAAACTTTAATTAACTGTTACATAGGCCAAATAAAAAATTAAATTTAAATCTGTAACATAATTAGTAGCACACTTATTTAATGATATTAAATGACACTGCACCGATAGCTCTCCGAATTTGTATAACGAATGAGAGCGCTCTCTCCGAGACTTGCATATGGACTGAGTGCCTGTGATACTGATTCACACGATGACACTAGACTATACGGGTCCCGAGATAAACAGCCGTGAGAACCATAATAATCTTTACTTTGGAGATATTGGCGGTGTTTATATTGTACATTATTGACCAATAAATCATCGCAGATAAGAAAGTGATGTTTAATTTTGGTAAAGGAGAGTGTTGAAACACTTTCGAGAAAATAAAATATAGTTAGATCATTAGATAATTAGATGTTTTCAAGTATTCTTGTAAAACTCCTTAGATCATCGCTCTAAAAGAACAATTTGTGCACAAAAAAGAATACAGTTCAAGAAATCCTTTTCATTCTGTAATGAAAGTTGGTAATGAGGTAGACTCGCGTCAGACAGCGTGGCGTGGTGTCAGTTTATCAAACTTTGTTGTTAGTGAACTTTGCGCTAGAACCTGTGACTTTCGGTGCATTCGGGACGAACTCTAATAAAGAATTTTCGGTTTCATTGTCAAATATTACTTGGACTTAGTTTTGATTTTTACGAAGCGACTTAGGGTTAACAAATGTTGGAATAATTGCATAATATACGCATAAAAAATAACATCCGAATTGAGAATCTTTTTCTTTTTTTCAAGTTGGAATTTTTTTTATAAATTCAAGTGACGGGACGAACAAGTGCTCCTGATCTACTCGTCCATAACAGTTGCAGTGCCACTCACGAGCTTTAAATTGCAAAGATCTGAGGGGCACTGCCACTGCGCCCATCACCCTGTGACATAAGTTGACAAGTCCCATGTGCCTGTAATTTCACCAGCACCCTTACCCTTCAAAACCGGAACACAGTAATGCTGACATTACTACTTGGCGGCAGAAATGGGAAAGGTGGCAGTACTATCCTGGACAAACTGTTTCACAAGGAGCTCTGCTGCTACTAACGTATTTGACGCAATGTGAGTTGTAGTAACGGAAAATAACAAAACTCAATTACGTGCACAAGAAGCAAATAAAAAATTTACAAGGCACGTAACTCATTAACGTAGCAGAAGAGAGACGGCTAAACAGACCCTCTGACGCTAGACTCTGCTCATTGCAATATGACTAATTGGCTTTTATTAATTCCATACCTGCTGTGCGCTCAACCGAGTTAATGCAAGGATATGTTGATTGTTTGAATTAGCATTTGTGTACTGTCAGTAATAAACGGCTTATTACTAATTTTCTTGTGATAAGAGAAAATAACATCTAATGCTGTCTTTGCAAGTATTATATTATATTGCTCAGAAAATGGAAGCCACAATTGATCATACGTTAAGTTAAGTGCTTTTATCTTGGGAAAGTTGTAAAAATAATACAATCTACACGAAACAAATAACGTATATGTGAAATTAACTAACTCTCCTATTTAAATAAAAAAAACATCGACTAATTTGTAATTTGTTTTGTAGAATCTTTTCTGCTGATAAGTTATCATTTTGTCTATGTGACCTTATTGTGCCATAATGTAACTGTTTTATAAATCAAAACACACCTCAAAAGTTCGTGAATTAATGCAGTAGAAATGAGAGCTTTGAGAAGTATGGCTGGAGTGACTCCGATAGATAAATTACGGAACAGTGTGATAAGAGAGCGTTGCGCGTTGCGGTGTGGAAGAGGATGTACTAACAAAGATAGAGAAAGGGATGCTTAGATGGTTCGGACGTGTAGAGATAATGAATGAAAGAAGATTGACGAAACTGATTTATAAGGCATGTGTGCGGGCAAGTTGTTAAGAGCCCACCAAGGCGAACTTACCATAACCAAATTGAGGCCATGCTAAGGAAGGGCCAGGTCAAGAGTTAACCGACGAGTGTGTATGAAAGCACTAATGCGTGTTGATAAGGCGAAAGTTATGTCAGGACCATAGCAAGTGGAAGACTGTTGTCTCTGCGTGGCGTGAAGTGTATGTAAGTATGTAAAAGTTCGTGGAATTACAGCTATTTGCAAAATTTTATTATAATCGGTTACCGGAAAGTGAGCGAAACTGTATTCATCCCTTAGTTTGCCACACTTAGATGTGGAATATTTTCTTCAAATTTAAATGGGACTAATATTGAGTTACCCTATTCCCAACATAAACGAATCATCAAAATCGGTTCACAAATCCCGGAATAATCGCGTAATCTACACACAAAAAAATACAGTCGAATTGGGAACCTGCTCTTTTTAAGTCGGTTAAAAAGGGCGCGAAATATACGAAGTATCATCATCATCATCATCTTAACTTTGTATTAATATAAAAATAATGCCAAAAATAATCAGTTTCGCGGCAATTTTAGGCAATATTTAAGGGGTTGATGTTGCTCGCTTCCGTAGGTTTACCCTTGCGACCCTACAAGTGACCCCTGGGTGGTGCTAAAGAGCAACAACTACCGGTGGTATGCTTCGGCCGTGGCTGGTAACCACCCTCCCGACGCAGTCGAGTCGCCAAATGGTTTATCCGTGTTCCGGCTCGTGTCGGGTCTGAACAGTTGCATTGCGTCCAACGACAAGTAGTAGCTGCTTGTACTGCCACACTGAGCACTCGGTTCTGGAGGCTAGCCGGATCCGAAGCATGGTGCACCGCTGGCCGACGTGGGAAGTTGTAGGCCCAAGTACCGGGAAAGCCACCCGTGAAAGGCTGCCCCGCCACCCAACGAAAAATCCCGGAATGCTCCACATTGCCGGTTGGCGACCGGAGGGGAGGACTAGGTGGCCATCTCCGGGGGGGTTCGGGCATCTCCGCGGTCTCCAAACCGATTGTACCCTCGTGTGGCAGTGTGAGTTTGCTGCTTGGTTCGACGACGCAATGCGTCGTTCAACTTAGGTCACAAAAAAGGAATACATTTTTCACAGCGGTTGCACGTCCTCCCATTAAAAGTGCACCTCACCAACATCAGAGGGCTGCACTCAAATATCGAAGCGGTTCACCACCAGCTGAAAACCGATAAACCGCATCATGCATTTTTTGCTGATGTTGTAGTTGAGGTCTTGCGATTGGGCATGGAGTATTTGGAGTATACCATACTTCGATGTACCCAATGGACCCCAAGCTCGTCCATGGTAACGGTGCTGTAGTCGTGCTGAAGCACAAAAACAGTCTGCGTACCAAGCTTGGGCAGATGCTCGATTACGCAAAGCTCCGAACACTCGGAATCTGAAGAAAGCCTTTAATAAAGCCGCCAAGAAGAGCAAAAGTGTGTTACGCTGGGCCAAGTTCGACCATGTGCGCCGCATAGGGGCCAAGGTTGCCTCTTTTCCAGCAGGCAGCAAGTCCTTTTGGTCCCTGGCCAAAGCGGTAAAAAAAAACTTTAGTAGCCACTCATTACCATCTCTGCTGAGGCCAGACGGCTCGCTGGTCTATACTGCGGAAGAGAAAGCGAATCTTTTCGCCTCACTTTTTGCAGAGTTCGCGTCTGGATGCCGCAGGATACCTACCACCTTCTTTATCTCTGACTGGATGCACTATGGCGCCAGTTCGCATGCGCCAAAAAGAGGTACTCAGAACTCTGCGAAGTCTAGACGTGCATAAATCTAGCGGGCCAGATGGAATTCCAGCAACAGTCCTGCATAACTGTGCGCCTCAGTTGTCTCCTATTCTCCCACGCCTGTATCGCCTCTCGCTTGAGATTAGTGTAGTTCCCAGGTCGTGGAAGCTTGCAAATGTGCAACCAGTGCCTAAAAATGGAAGCGGAGCTGACCCTGTCAACTATAGACCTGTCTCAGTCACTTCCATACTCTGCAAGACGATGAGATGATGAGATGGGACGTGTACTTAACAACCGTCTCTTGTCGTACCTTGAAGACAACGATCTCCGATCATCAACGTGAGGCGATACTTCACACCGGGACAGTTACTTCAGCTGTACCAAGCACAAGTCCGGTCGTGTATGGAGTACTGCTGCCACTTAAGGGATGGCTCTGCTAAATACCAACTGGCCACCTTGGATTCAATAGACAAGCGTGGTAAGAGGCATATAGGTGACTCGGAACTAGTATAGGCGAAGCTGCAGAGCCTTGAACACCGCCGTAGAGTTGCCAGCTTATCGGTATTCTACAGGATACATCACGGAGAGTGTGCGATGGAATTGCATAATTTGATTCAGCCTTCTCCTTTCCATCATCGGGAGACTAGACGTGGGCGGGAATTCCATCCCTATGTTGTGGATATTCCCCGGATTCGCACGAAGCGTTTCGCTTCCACATTTGTACGGCGAGCGGCTGGGGAGTGGAATTCCCTGTCTGCAGACTTGTTCCCCGAACGCTATAACTTGGACCTTTTCAAGGCGAGAGTGAATAGGCATTATTTAGGTGTGCATGCTGTATCCTCGACCTCATCGTCACTTTTCTTTCAGGTGAGATGGAGGTCAAATGCGCCCTTATTTTTTATATAAAAAAAAATCTTGACCACATGGAACACGAGCTTAAAATAGTCGTTTGCTTTTAGAGTATCAGATACTTTATTTGCATTCGCTTCGTATACAGCATGATCATGACATAAAACATCAAGGTAGCTACCTGAGTGCACAGGCGTAGCAGGTAGCGGACGTTTGTCGGGCGGTCCTCGTCGCACCGCTGCCGCCGATGCTGGCAGCGGAATCGACGTCTGCAGCACCGATACTTGTCTGAAACAATGAATAGTTATTATATAGGCATAATTCAGTTATGAAAAGGGATGACTATATATTCTAGTGTCTATGGGGTTTTGGCTTATATTATAATATCAGTATTTCTAGGAGCAGTTTAACTGCATATAGTTGTATGTGTGTGTATCATCTAGCTGCAATAACAGTAATCGCTCCTCTATGTTTAGTTCCATTTGATAGAAATTTCTTCAATTTTAGACAAACTGTTGAAAACAAGCTATAAGTAGCCAGGAACCGCGAGACTACGTAATAATATAATAACCGCAAGTTTCTAGTACAAGTATAAATTACACTTCTCAGACAACTGAAGATTATAGCTAAAACGGCGGGGCCAGTGGTACGGTGGCTTTGCTATATTCACCACTACCATTTGTACGAGACATTACCAACAGATGTCTAGTCATAAATTCAGTTAAACATTTATTTTAGATGCTTACTCTTGTAAATTGCTTTTTCAGAAAATGTATGCAGCAGAATTAATCGTTTAGGTTAGCTTTATTAGCGTAATTTACTTCGTCTGTTAAGATATTAAAAGTTCTGCTACTTGACAGTAGATGGCGCTATACTAAATCAGTAACTAGGATCGGGAAACTCATATTAAAATAAGTATTAATAAATAAATATAATTATATAATGTATATAATTATATAAATACAATTGAATTGTTTTTTGCTGTCATCTTATAGTTATTGCAAACTTAATGGTGTACCAGAAGGTAATTAATAACAACTAAAGTGATGACTATCATATGACAACACATAATATAGACATTCTTTCCGCCACACCATATCTAACATTTTGTTTGAAATATCAACAAGCGATAGTGTTGACGAACCAGAGGCCCTCTGTCGCCATCCTTTGTCGAATCTAAACATGAACATCTGGCGTCGACGCACGCGCAAGCAATGCGGACCACTTGACATGCGCGGGGAGGCTTTATATAATGTTACATGACACTAACTTGACGAAAGGGGAACTATGTTTGGTAAACATTGTGGTTTCATATAAACAATAGGCTGCAAACATGTTACGTAACCAGCCGTCAACACTCGGATCTATACTATAATATCTACCCAAACCACTTTATTCAATAATTAATTGAGGATATCAGCGCATAAGTGGTGTAACCCTATAAAATGCATATAGAAGATGAGAAAAAAAAAGGAAATCCCTCACTAGAGAAACCCTGTGTCGAAAACTCACGACAGAAATAAATATATAGGACCTCTGCGTGGCAGTCCAGCATGGTAACTGTTCGGTCACGGTGGCAGTTGAATCATGATTAATCATACTAATCATAATATATGTATAATTTATTATGACCTATATAGTAATTATATTTAACTAGTATTTCTTTATATATAAAAATAGCATTCAAATATAAAATAATTATATACCTTACTAACATTACATCACTTTTGCGCTGTTATCCTAAATGAATTATTCTGTTTTTTCTTTAAAAATTCGCTTCAAAGACAGGTTAATATCTTAAAGCCCCGTGTAGGGGCATCAAAAAGTACATAATATGTGAAGTGACTCGGACACAGATCACGTAAACGCCCAATGCGCATTATAATTAAATCAAATTTAGCGTTATATATTCTGTATGACTACAGGGTATATGGAAAAATACGTTTTCCACACAAAACTAAGGACATATTTACTTGCACAATGGGCGTTTAGCGCTCTTCTCCTTATAGTTTGCTGGGTCTTATGAGTTAAACAGGCGTTATTTACAGGAAGTGAAAATTTGAAAAAAGGCATGATAAGTTAAAAATGTTACTTGATGTTTCTTAACCAAGGTGGGTGACACGTTCTGTTTTTAGACATATGTACCTGTACCTGTGCTTCTTTACGATATTTGCTAAGAAGTTCTGAATCATTGTTTTGGGAATTCCTTCAATGACGCATCAAAGGAAAATGTAGGATTTTGTGAAGATCGTAATGTGGCTCCTAATTTCAAGGCAAAAGCAACGAAACGATGGCAGGTATCATAAACAAAAATGTCGGAGTTATTATTGAATTGTTCGTTATTTCACACGTAGTATTTGTGTAATGTGTGCAATAGAAGACACATGAAAAGCCTCAACTTTATGAATGAGCGCTCTAGTTTTGTACAACATTTTGTTGCTGATGAAAGCTACAAAACGCAGAATTCAACATTGTGCTGTGCCTTCCGAAAAACGATATCGCAGTGACGTGAGTTTCCGTCCGGAAATGGAGGCTGTCGAGCGACCCCCACCTCGTTACGTCATGTGCCTCCTGTTCCGGTATTTTAAATGTACATACAGCCAAAAGAATAACACGTTTGGGTCGAGTACAGCTTAGAGTTATGCTCAACATTGTTACATTTACTGCTAACTTTACTTATACTGTAGACCGTTGGTTGTACATTTTAAAATAAAATTTAATGAAAGGAAGAAAATACTTGTACTACATAAAGTGCGTTTAAGGTAGGTTTCAAGGAACAGGCTAAGCCTAAAAATAGCCCTTTCGTATACCATAAAGCATTCTATCTCTGTGATTATCTTCGACTACAAAAGGCAAGAGAGCATCGGCTTCATGTCAGTTTTGCTCCATTGTTTATGCACCTACCTCTTTAGACGTCGTTTAAATTGTGTAGGTAATGTAAAGCTTTTTAAAAATACATTATATACATTCGACTAAGTTAATATTTCGTACTAAAAACCGGAGAGAGAATTTAAACATAAGCTTATTCAGCGCCCTTTCGTTCCGATAAAAAAAGTACAAAAAGTTTGTGTACAAAAATCTGTAGCTTTATAATAATAATGTATTATGTATCTATGTAGTATAATTTGCCGCTGATATCCAACATATAGAACATACATGTACTTATACTTTTCTTGTTACTGATACCTAAAAATAGAGCTTAGAGTAATTTTTAGACCAGCAAACATAGTGCATGTTGATTTATAATAAAAATAATATTATAGGCTGCATAATAAAGTAGGCCACAAAGCAACAATGAAGAAAGTACGTTGTACTGTTTCATAAGTATAAAACAAAGGCTAGTATTAACTTCTTCTTTAAGCTTTACTTCGACGATATTAGTGAACAAATTGTCTAAACAGTCGAACAGTTTACACTTTCTCAAATTACCTCGTTCTATTTTTGACTACAGTTTTTAATTTATATGTACCAATAGCCTTTGTAAGCCCTTTTATCAAAATTAGGGCCCTCGGTCCTAATTTCCTGTAGAAGTACGCCTCGTCTGGTGAAAGTTAGCTTTGTTTAAGTTACGCATACTTTATATATGTTTGCCGAGGTCTTCATACAGTTTAGTGCAATTCAGTGCCTCCAGTGAAAAACGGAATAAGACGAGTTATGCCCTTTTGTTTTTATTGCACCATTGGCTTCAGCGTGTCCGATTACACAACACATCAAAAGGACATGTCTCTAGAAGTCTCCTAACATTTTTAATATAGGTCTAAGAGCATAACTCACTTTTCACTCATAATTCACGTTTCTAATGGCACAATATTAGTTATCGGGCATTTTTTATGAGTGTAAAGGTACATTCAATAAAAAATACATTCAAGTTTAACGAATATCTACAAATATACTTCTACATAAAGATACTTTTCGTGTTGTTCCATAATAACGGGGAAAAATAGTAAGACTAAAAGCGACTATTCCCTTATTCCATAGTGTACATAAAGACATAACTCACTGAACACAGTTACTTTCGCATTTATAATATTAGTTTGGATTGGCTTAAGTTGATGTTTTATCAAAACGACAACAAATAATGGGGTTGAAAATAATTTAAACCAGAACGTACTTTGATTCCGGAGGATGATGCTTGTTACAACAACTTGATAGCGTCTCAGAACAGTGCGAAAGCTTATTCGTGTTATTATTATAATTTACGTGCAAAAATGTATAGAGGGCGAAATAGAATCATTAATCGTCCCAAAATGGTAAGTATGAGTATAAAATTATATTCTTATATATAATAAATATGTAATTTTGTCAACCGTTGGGCGAATACATACTTTCTTAGTTATAATACAAACATCTTTAAATTAAAAGGTAGGTTGTTGTTGCTGTATCGTTGTTTGCCCTATTATTAGGAGCAGCTTATTTTTATTTGATGAAAAGTATCACTATAATTAGGTATGTACTTTATTTTGAGAGTAATGTTTGTTACCTTTTTTATTAGAAATCTACCCGAATTGTTTGATCATAGCTACAGTGATATTGAACAACATCGCGATCGAGAGGTAATCAATGATGAATACACTACTTATATCAATACTTACATATAACATTTAATTACAAACCTATCACTAAGTAGATTTGGGTAACTGACCTATAGTTCCGACAATAACAACTATTAGGTAGAATTTATATGTACTTATACATTTTTCTTATTTTTAGTCAATCTTTTGTTATAAGTTATTAGTAGTCATGTATACAGTTATTTATTTTTTTTCTTTGCTTTCATTGCAAAGAGAGTTAATTATGGATCAAGAACCTGGAATTACTAAACCAAGATGTAATGCTTGTGACGCAAGTTTGCTACTTTTACAATAGCAATATATATATAATAAGTAGTGAACCAACGAACCGGTAATAGCTAGTGTAAAGATATTTTCTAAAGTCTTTCATTCCAGAGATTCGGAAGATCGAGTACATACTCGATGTTCGGAAGAGTCAAAGATCTTAGTTATTTGTTGACAAAGAGATCCAACAAACTTCTCCCCATAAGGGTTGAGAATAAGATAACCTCAGTACAGAGTACTAAAAAAACCGACCTCAAAAGTACGTGGAATTACGTCTATTTGCAAAGTTTTATTGAAATATCCCCTAGTTCGCCACTATACAGGACTTGACACTGGAGATAATAAAAAATAGGTTCTCACTACGACACTACTCAAAGTATATTGAGGGAAAAACGCCTTGAATTGGAGAAATAGCAAAATCAACCATTAAAGTATTGCTCCTAAATTAAAGTT